TAAATATCCCTTTTAATAGATTAAATATCCCTCTTAATTGATTGAATCGATTAAAACTTATATTTAATCGATTAAATATCCCAAATGAGCGTGAAAACATTGATTGAATTTTGAATTTAATGTAATAGGAATTGATTGCGATTTGTATTTAATAGGAGCTGATTGTAATATTCAAAATAATAATAATAATAAATATTTTGACGCCACTAGCGCCAATGTTGGCGCTAATAGCGCCAATTGTTGGTGCAAAGAGCCAAATTAGCGTGAAATTGGAGCCAGTAGCGCCAATTCGCATCGATATGTATTTTTTTATCAGACGCCATTCGCGTCAACTTTTACGCAAAGTGCGTGAATACATATATATATGTTTACGTATATAATAATGATAATAATAAGAAATAAGTAATTAAATATTAAGATAAATTATATAAAATATAATATGTTAATAATTAAAATAAATAATAATAATATAGTAAATCAATAAAAATATATATGTATATCACAGAAATTAAATGAAACTTAGTACGTAAACGTGGAAGCAGCTGAGGACGGCTTACGAATATTATTCTAGAAACATATACGTTGGTGATTACGTGGTTGATTATTATCAGAAAACTAATGATTACTTAGTTACAATTTGGTTCAAATCTAACTAAAACGTAAGCAGTCTCTTATATATATATATATATATATATATATATATATATATATATATACGTCGAAGAAGAAAAGAAAGAAAGGAGGCCAGCGAAAGAGAAAGGGAGAGAGAACAGCGAGCATAAAAAGAGAAAAAGAAAAGAAGGAAAGCAACAGGACAGAAGGTAATATTGGGTGATGAAAAACGTTCTTTCATTTTTTAAGAAGATTTATTTATAATCTTGTGTCGTTTTTTCAAACTCTTCTCTCTATTTATTCTTCTGTAGTTCTAGTTTATTTGTTTATCGTAGTTGATTTTGTTCGGTGATTTCATTCCTTACAATACTTTTAGCTCCTTTTAATTTTTATTTCTTTTTACCTACTGAATTCATAGTGGAGTAATTAATTGGTACCAAATAATTACAAAGAAAATATGTGCATTTAACTGATGAAGACTGCTATGAACTGAACCACAAAGATTGGGTTCAGACGATTAGAGGGTAAGGGACGCCTTATCGTGGTTTGAGCTCCTCTACAATAAATCTTTCATATGCAGAAGACCACAAAGTTGGAAATTTATTTAGCTTCAGTTAAATATTACACAATGTATTATTTATTATATTATTTCATTTTATTAAATTATCTGAGAGAATGGTATTTTCCGTTATTACGGCTGGAAATGGTTATAGTTAGAAAACCTCAATATTGCTGAGATTTATCTCACGTGTGTTTGTTTTGTGCTAACCTTTCCAGAAAATCATAATGCCTACTCTAAGCCTAGCAGGTGAAGGATGGAGTATTAATATTTACTCTTATGAGGACCGCACGGAGTTTTATATCGTAGTAGGAAATCAAGGAGCTGCTTCCATATTCTATGCTGATAGCGTGGAGACTACACCTATAGGCTAGATTAGGATAAGACTTTTGTATTGTATAATTATGTGATGTAAGAAATAAACTGAAGTGATGTAATATTTAGTAGACTGTAGGACCTATGTAAAATAACTCCTTTTTGTATCTGACGTAACAATATATATATAAAGTGATGTCGGTGGATGTTTATATAAATTTCTTTACTGTTATTATTAATTTTAACTTATTTCCGTCTTATTTTCTCTCTGACGATGTATAAAGTGAAAACATCTATATGTAATAAAAACTTTTATTTCTTACTGGTTATCTGAACATAAAGTGATACTGATAATATATATATATATATATATATATATATATATATATATATATAAAAGAAATCATGTAATATTACTTATTAATGTTTACAGCAAGGGATGTTACATATATCAACCAAAACCTAATAGGTTGGCGTACTATATCAAAAGGAAAGTAACAAAATCAGTTCATGTAAATCAATCCAGTTTCCAAGAATCGTTTTTCTTTTGTTGGTTTCTTTGTTTGTTTGGTTATCTATGCTTGTTGATTTTCTTCATATGCATGGAATCTGCTTTTGTTTATGGAGGAGATTTGACCTTTGTTGCCTGTTGGGAGATTTAATCGATTAACTTGAAGATTTAATCGATTAAATCTTCAAGTCAACCATTTTTGCCAGTTTTGACCATTTAATCGATTAAATCTTCAAGTTAATCGATTAAAGAGGGGCAGATTGGTAGATAATTTTGAATAAGGGACAAAATAATTATTAATTAATTAATGAGGGGTAAAAGGGTCAAAAAAACCTATAGAAAGGACTAAAAAAACATAAATAGAAGAAAAAAAGATCAAATATGTTTAAATAAAAAAGAATAAAATAAATTAAGGATGGAAAAATAGAAGACAAAATAAGATCAAATATTTTTAAAACTTATAATTATAATAGAAAAGACTAAAATTAAAAAAAAATAGTCTAAATCAAAAAGAAGGAAATAGAAGAAATACAAAAAAGAAATAGAAAAAATAAGATCAAATATGTCTAAATAAAAAAATATAATGATGATAAAAAAAATAGAAGAAAAAATAAGACTAAATATGTTGAAAATTTACAACACTGACAAAAAATAAAAATATTTAAAAAAAATTAAAATAATCTAAATTAAAAAGAATAAAATAGACTGGAGACAAAAGAGAAATATAAGAAAAAGAAATCATTGCTATAAGTTTCCAACATATTTGATTTGAATTTTTTTTTATCTTCAGTGTATTTTCTTTTTCTTTTTTTTGACTTGATATGTTTGTTCTTTTTTTCTTCTATTTTTATTTTTTCACTTTTGTTAACAGAAATGGAAGAAAAAATAAGGCAAAAAAATAAAAATAAAAGAAAAAGAAGTACTGTTGTAAATTTTTAACATATTTGGTCTTATTTTTTCTTTTTTTTCTTTTGTGTTTAGTTTATTTATTATTAATATTTTTTTACTTTTTGTTTTTTTTGTTATTGTTGTAACTTTCCAACATATATAATCTTATTTTTTCTCCATAGTTTATTTTTATTTTCTTCTTTCTGATTTAGATATATTAGATTTTTTCTTCTATTTCTTTTTAGTTTTTTCTTTAAGTGTTATAAATTTTCAACATATTTGCCATTATTTCTTCTTTTATTGTTTTTGTCCTCAATCTATTTTTTTTTTGGTAAGCATCTATTTTCTTTTTCTAAAAAGGCTAAAATCTGCAGATAAATTTAATTTCTAACGGTGTTAAGGATTGATTTGAATGGCAAAAAAATCATTGGGAGCAAGTTTGAAAAAAAAATTATTGGATATAAATAATTCAAAGCAAAATTATAAGGGATTTTATAATATTTTCCTTTATTATCTTCAATTCTTTATCTATATTTCAATAAGAATTAGAGTAGAGTAAAGTAAGGACAAAATCTTACATAAAAAGTACAAGTAAACTTTTTTTATTGTAAATAGTATATCTTTCAGTTGTGCTAAATAATATGAGATTATATGTTGTAGGAAATAATTTTATCTCTAATACACACATAAAAATGTGTGAGGTCCATGTGAGAAGAAAAGAGAGAAAAAGAAAACATGGATCTTATATACTTTTATGTGTGTAAGAAATAAAATTATCTCATATAACATTAGAAATATTTATCCCAAATAATATAGGAAAAAATGTGTGTCATTTTAAAGGATGTAAAGTTGTGTCATTTTAAGAGAGAGAAAGAGATAGATAGATAAAGGAAGAGAGTGAGTTGTCATAAAAAATAAAGGTATGGGTCCCACCTCTTTATGAGAGTGAAAGGATATAAGTTGTGTCATTTGAAAGGGTAAACAATTTCCCAATAATATATGGGTTTAATATTTTTGTTTTTACTATAATTTTTTTTTCTCATATTCATATAAAAGTTAATAGGTTCCACTAATATTTTCTCTTTATAATAGAATTCACTTACTTTTATATGAGTATGAGAAAAAAATTGGAGCAAAAATATTTTTTCCATAATATATTATGGTTGAGCTTAGTGCAAAGGGTAGTTGGGATACAAATTTGCACTTTGATAATATTTGCTTCTTCTATTTTTGGTAAGAGATGATATTTGCTGTTTGTCAAAACTAAAAGCTCGAAAGAACTTTCTCATATTCATGGGAGGGGCAATAGGGAGACAGTTCCACGTCCAAAACCATACTCAAAACTAGGGTTGGCAAAACGGGCCAACCCGGCCTGGCCCGACCCAACCCGTATTCGACCCGAAAAAAACGAGTCGGGTTAGGGTTGGCTCGAAAAAAAAACGAGCCAGAAAACCCAATCCAACCCGATCCGAGTCGGGTCAGGGTTAGCTCGCGGGTTGGCTAAAAAATATGGCTCGTGGGTTGGCTTGAAAAAATAGCTCGCGAGTTGGCTCGAAAATTGGCTCGCGGGTTGGCTCGTTTTCAGCCTATTTAAATGACCATGTAGTATTAATACACCAACAAAAGGTTACAAAATGAAATGATTTGTGGGAATGATCGTTTTAATGCTAAATTTTTCATGATTTGTTGATAGTTAAAATTGTGTGCTTATAACCGATTAACTAAAGTATACTAGAGAAAAGAAAAAATTAAAAATTCAAAGGATGGAGAAAAGCTCTGAGAGTGGAAAAGGAAAATCATCGGAGGAGGAAGATCTGCTTCGTCGAAGTACCAAACGAAACAAGGAAGATGGAGATCAATTCTCACATAATGTCTCGATGGTGCCTAGAGTGGAGGACTGGATGGGGGATCAAGAGGATAGACCAAAATCATGGAGAGAAGTGCTTATGCGTCATAATGGAGAAGAAGATGAGTGGAAGAATGATGAGGGATTGGAGGATGAGATCCAAGATGAAGCGGCAGAGGAAGAAGATGTAAATTTTGGTGGCATAAGGATGTGGGATGAAGAAAATGGGAGGACTCAATTTCAGTTGTACTAGTAGGGCAAGAAAGCGAATGCATAAAGTTTGGGAGAAAACTCTGATCGTCAAGCTGTTAGGAAGAACAACTGGTGTTGCATTCATGAAAAAGAAACTTGAAACTTTATGGGCCATAAAGGGTAAAATCAACATTACTGATATTGGAAATGATTACTACGTAGTTCAGTTCAGTGAAGGAGATGATCTGAATTTTGCTCTAAACGGGGGACCTTGGGTTGTGTTAGGTAATTATTTGGCTTTACGTAAGTGGCAACCAGCGTTTAGACCACATGCTGAAGGTATCTCAAAAATAGCTGCGTGGGTTCGCCTTCCAGATATTCCATTGGAGTTTTATGATGAAGCTTTTTTCAGACGTGTGGGGAACTAGCTAGGGAAGTTAATCAAGATTGATAGAACTACTAATGCTCATGCAAGGGGACGTTTCGCCAGGATATGTGTTGAACTGGACCTTGCTAAACCTTTGAAGGGAGAATATGTCTTAGAAGGGATGACTAAACAGATTGAATATGAAGGTCTTGGACTCATTTGCTTCAAGTGTGGGAGGTATGGGCATTCCAAAGAATGTTGTGCAGAGCCCCAAATGAATACTGCTGCAATGGATGGAGATCATGCACGTGAGAAAGAAAATGAGGATGAAGCTTGTCCAATTCAGAATGGGTTAGGGCCTTGGATGGTGGTTAACCGCCAACGCCGTTTCAAAGGTCAGGGAACAACAATGGAGAATCAATCAGTGTTAACAACAAAGCGTAATCTGAGGCGTAATCAGGGGGAGCAAATTGTGCAATCCAAACGGACAGAAACGGATATGGCGGCATTAAATTCCAAATTTGAAGTTTTAATAGATGATGAGGAGAATCAGCATTATGAGCTGGAAAAGAATGCTGTGGGACCTGAGGCTAATCAGCATTTAAGGAATGTTAATTCCAAAGGAGTAAATCACGGTGCCAAATTGAAACAGAAAAGTATCTCTCTTGAAGAGCATGCAGATCGTTACACGCTGATAGGAGTTGACTCAGAATATGCTCCAGTTAATACAAAGAAGGATGAGCTAGCTAATTTTAAAATGGGTCCTAAAATTTCGGGGCAAACGTCATCTTCACAAAAAATATTCAGAATCAAAGTTTTTCCTCGAAAAAGATATTAACAAAGAATAATAAGGCAGATATGGTGGAAGGGGAAACAAGAATGGAAGTGGATCGAACAGTTTTTGTTCAAAGGGATGATGAAAATGGAGTAAATAATCCTAAAGCACCAGACCCGAATTTAGGAATGTTAAGTGAATATGTGTTGAAAGAAACACAGATGGAAGAAGATAATGCCTTAGAAGATGTTGAAATGGTGCAAGAAACTTTGTGGTCAGTAGGGAACCAGAAACCTACAACTCAGCCTTGATTTATGTCTATTCTATCTTGGAATTGTCGTGGGGCAGTCAAAAAACGTTTTGTTAGTACTTTAACTAGTATAACAAGGAGGCACATAGTGGATATTGTTGCTATCTTAGAACCACGTGTGAGTGGGATCAAGGCCAAAAAGATAATAAAAAGATTAGGTTTTAATGGTTGTATTATGGAAGAAGCACAAGGTTTTTCTGGAGGTATTTGGCTTCTGTGGAATAGGAATGTTTGTGAGATTACGGTGCTAGAACAAAATATGCAAATGATTTATACTAAGATTTGTTTTACCGAAAAGAGTGACTTTTTCTGCTCCTTCATTTATGCTAGTCCCAGAGAAGAGGTTAGACGAAATTTATGGCAAGATTTTCAGCGTATTTCTCTCTCTATGGAAGAACCTTAGTTAATGGTGGGGGACTTCAATGAGATTGCTTTTCCTTATGAAAAGCGAGGGGGTGCTCCTGTGGATGTTAATAAATGCAATAGATTTTCATCTTTGTTGTCTAAAATAAATATGATTGATTTGGATGGTACAGGTGCTAAATTTACTTGGAAGGGTCCTAAGTATCTCAACATGGAGAGAGTATACAAGAGATTGGATAGAGCTTGTAGCAATGCTTTTTGGAGGACAAGTTTTGAGGATGGTCAGGTTAAGATCCTTCCTAGGATTAACAGTGATCATAGTCCTTTACTGATAACTTTGTCTTTTGAAAATGATGTCTGAAAGGATAGGCCATTCAGGTTTCATTCTTTTTGGCAAGATCATATTCTTTTTAACAACTTCCTTAAGGATAATTGGTGTGGGGATGGGAAAATTTTGGAGAGCCTTAAAATGTTAACCCCTTGCATAAAAGAGTGGAATGTGAAGGTGTTTGGTGATATAAGGGTTAGGAAAAATAAAATTCTGAACAGATTAGAAGGTATTCAGAAAGCAATCTCAGACGAAAATAAGGAGTATTTGGAGAAGATTGAAAGGAAGCTTAAAGTAGAACTCGAGGAAGTGCTTGACCAAGAAGAAAAGTTATGGTTTGAGAAGTCAAGAGCTGAGTGGATCAATCAGGGAGATAGAAATACAAGTTATTATCATACTTAGACTATAATAAGAAGGAAGCATGGAAGAATCACTGAGCTAAAGGATACAAATGGAGCTATAGTAAAAGGTGATGTTGGTATGAAGAACTTATTTTTTAATTTTTTCAATAACCTGTTTCATGAGGATACCATCCAGCGTGAATGGATGAGCACTGATTGGCCGAGGAATCATATTGAAGCTAAGGAGGACTTGAGGAGACAGGTTACTAAAGAGGAAGTCAAGAAAGCTTTCTTTTCAATGAAAGGGGTCTAAAGCACCTGGGAAAGATGGTTATACGGCTGTGTTCTTTCAAAGAAATTGGGAGTTGATGGGGGATCAGGTTTGGAGTGCTTTTCAGTATTATTTGCAGAATCCTCTAGCCATTGAGGAGATAAATGGTACTTTGGTTGCTTTAATTCCCAAGATCCAAAAACCGAATTTGGTGTCTCAGTTTAGGCCTATATCCTTATGCAATGTGATTTATAAAGGGATGAGTAAAGTTATAGTTGGGAGACTGAAGGGGGTTATGGAAAATCTAATCTCAGTTAACCAAGCAAGTTTTGTGCCCAACAGGAATCTGCAAGATAACATAATAGTGGCAAAGGAAGTTATTCATACGATGGCCAAGCTTAAAGGAAGGAGGGGCAGTATGGCAATCAAGATTGATCTTGAGAAAGCTTATGATAAGCTTAGTTGGTCCTTCATTAATAAGGTCCTGGTAGAAATTGATCTTCCTGCTTGGATGATTGAGTTCGTAATGGCATCTATCACAACTAACAGATTTCAGATTCTTGTTAATGGAGGTATGACAGATACTATAACTCCAGGAAGAGGTATTCGACAAGGGGACCCTCTTTCCCCCTATATTTTTGTTTTATGTGTTGAAAAATTATCCCATCTTATTTCTCAAAGGGTACAATGGTGATTGGAAGCCAATAAAAGTCAGTAGAAAGAGTCCTATAATCTCACATCTTATGTTTGCAGATGATATTGTTTTATTTGTTGATGCATCGATGGAACAAGCTCTAATGATTAGAGATTGTTTGGATCAGTTTTGCAGGATGTCTGGACAAAGTATTAGTGTCCCAAAGTCTACCATTTACTTTTCTCCTAATACTAATGATAGAATTGCAGATTCTATTATTGGTGTCACTGGTTATATGAGAGTTAAAAGTATTGGTAGATATTTGGGCTCTTTTATTAGTCATGGTCGTGTATCAAAAAATAACTATGCAGCACTTATGGACAGAATCAGGAGCAAGTTTGATGGATGGAAAAATCAGTGCCTTTCCTTTGCAGGCAGAGTGACTTTAGCAAAATCTGTTATTGGTGCAACTTGCTTGGAAAATTTTAACTAAAAAGGATGACTTGTGGGTTAAAGTTTTAAGACCAAAATATGGTAGAGGCGCTGACTTGAGGCGTGAGATAATTTTCAAAAGCTATGACTCCAAGCTTTGGCGCGATCTGAGTAAATGTTGGAAGAATTTCCTTTCAGGTCTTCATTGGGAAGTTGGAAATAGAGAATCAGTTAGATTTTGGATGGATAATTGGCTGGGGATGGATGATACTCTTAGCTCTTTAGCTAAAACACTGGTGCCTGCAACAGATTTACATAAATCCATTGCTGATGTTGCTCCTCAGGGAATTTGGGATTCACAATATATCCATAATTTTTTGAATGATGATCTTGTAAACAAGATTCTTTGTTATCCTTATGTTGTTGTAAATGATAGTGAGGACAGATTGCTATGGTCGCAGAATCATACATCTGTTTCATTGGTTAAGACAACATATGTAAATTTGATGAATTTCCAAGCTTCCAATATAGATATTATTTGGAAGAAAATCTGGTCTTGGAAAGGCCCAGAACGGATGAAGATCACTTTTTGGCTGGCTTTACTGAACAGACTTCCGGTAAAATCCAGAACAAGTATTTGGAGTGGTGGATCAAATGCTTGTAGTAGTTGTCCAAATATTGAGGAGTCTGTTATCCATGTCCTGCGTGACTGTAACCATGCAAGGAACATATGGAGGGATGTTTTTGGTAATAATGTGCCTTACGAGTTTTTCAAAATAGAGAAGAAAGACTGGTTTAGGAGGAATATTTGTAGGGGTTGGAACAGAAACGGAGTTTCTGAATGGTTGGATATCTTCATCCCTACATGCTGGCATATCTGGTATTGGCGTAACCAGGAAGCTCATGACACAGATTTTCGAAGGCCATTTAGGGGAAAACTGGTCATTTATGATTACATATCACAGATTTGTGCAGCTAGAGGAAGAATGAAGACCAATAATGGTATTAGTCCAACTGATATGATTTTGGGGTGGCAAGCTCCTGAAGAAGGGTGGGTAAAGGTCAATACAGATGGGGCATATTCTTATATCAGAAAATCTGCTAGTTGTGGAGGCCTTGTTAGAGATCACAATGGTATGTTCCTTGGCGGTTTCAAACAAAATCTTGGTTGTAATAATCTTTGGATGCAGAGTTATGGGGAGTATTAAAGGGCTTGGAATTTGTTTGGAGTTCTGGTTTCATAAGGATTATAGTGGAGTGTGACTCCATGAATGCTATTTCTCTCATTTACAACAATGATCCTAATTCTAGAAGTCCTCAGGTTATAGACCGGATTCGCAAGTGGATGGCACAAGATTGGATTGTGCATTGCAAGCATATCAGCAGGGACAACAACTCATGTGCTCATTGGATTGCTTCTTTCACAAATGATGGAGATAGGAATTTTATTCAATTCTATAGGCCTCCTCCTTCTCTTAAGGAGCTCCTGTTAAGGGACGTCTCCACGTCTGTTTCTTTGTCTCTGATTGTTTAGTCTTTGTTTTTTTGGGGTTGTGCCCCTCTTTATTTACAAAAAAAAAAGGTTACAAAATGAGAAATAAAAGCAAAATATTTTAATTTTAAATTTTCATCACAACAAATTTGCATCAATATCAAGAAACAATCAGAACCACTTGCTACCAAGTGAGTAAGATATTTGAACCAAACAGAGCCAACACAGCCTAACAATATAAAAATGGCAGGGATGTGAGAAGATTAGAGACTTAGGTTTAGAGAAGGAAGAAAAATGATGATAACATGTGTGGATTTTGTCCATTTTTGTATATTATATTTTTTATTTTTCTATAAAAAAAAAAAAACTCAACCCGCGAGCTGACTCGTTTTTTCACGGGTTGAAACGAGCCGGGTTGGCAGCTCTTTTTGGCCAACCCAACTCGGCTTATTTTTGGCGGGTTACGAGCCAACCCGATGGGTTGGCTCGTTTTTGCCAACCCTACTCAAAACTTGTCTTCCTTTTTTAATTTTCAATTTCATCTGATTTTCACTTTCTCCTCACTCACTGTGTTTATATTTCATGTAAGTCATAAAAAATAAAAGAATAGAAAGAAGGTGAATTTTCTCAACAAAGGATGCAAGTGTAAAAATACAAATGTTACATACTATAATTTCATACTAAAGTAATACATGTGTATGTAAGTATTGATATGCAAATATTGTATACAAATTTAAATACTTAAATGACAAATTTTATAACAAATATCAATATATAAAGAATTATTCAAAGAGAATATTTTTGGCACTAGTATAATACCATTTGTTAAATTTATGCTGGCAAAAGGATTACACTGGTGCGTTTGGTTCGGGCTTCTTAAATATTCTCCCATGCATTTGACTTTGGCAAAATACATAGTCTATGTCTGGTAGAGAGATTTGAAACATTTCTCCAGATTTGGTATTTACATAACGTCTCATAAATACTTGTTAAAATTGAAGTCAAGTCACTGTTGAGAAAGACCACTTGTAGGTGGTATTTTGTATTTAACTAGATAAATATGGCAACACACATTCAAACTTTACACCAATGTCCAACACATTGCAATGTTACTTTACAGTAATTCACATTCAAAAACTT